AGACTTCATTATCGGTGGATATTGGCTCGGCATGATTCCGTGATCTGCAGCCTCCAGAATCGAAAGAAAATGACATTTCGGAAAAATTGCCCGAAATTCGTGATGGTACCCCTTTTGGAATCTGCCAAAAATGGGTGCCGAATAAATTCGCCCAAATCGGCACTTAATGGACTTAATCATCGTTGAAGAATAGCCTCAGTCCGAATCCGTGATCTGTAGCCTTCAAAATCAAAAGAAAATGGCCTTTCGTCGCCAAAAAAATTATGAAAATGCAATTTGAAAATAAATTGGCCCAAATTGGTGTTTAATGGACTTATCATCCATGGAGAATAGTATCAATATACTTCATTATAGGTGGATATAGGCTCGGCCTGATTTCGTGGTTTACAGCCTCCAGAATCGAAAGAAAATGGCATTTCGAAAAAATTGCCCGAAATATGTGATGGTACCCATTTCGAATCTGCCAAAAATGAGCCCGGAATAAATTCGCCCAAATCGACACTTAATGGACTTAATCATCGTTGAAGAATAGCCTCAGCCCGAATCCGTGATCTGGAGCCTTCAGAATTCAAAGAAAATGTACTTTCGTCCCCAAAAAAATTACGAAAATGCCATCCGAAAATAAATTGCCGCAACTCGGTGCTTAATGGACTTATCATCCGTGAAGAATAGTATCAATAGACTTCATTATCGGTGGATATAGGCTCGGCTTGATTCCGTGATCTGCAGCCTCCAGAATCAAAAAGAAATGGCATTTCGGAAAAATTGCCCGAAATCTGTGATGGTGCCCCTTTGGAATCTGCCTAAAATGGGCCCGGAAAAAATTCGTCCAAATCGGCGCTTAATGGACTTAATCATCTTTGAAGAATAGCCTCTGGCCGAATCCGTGATCTGTAGCCTTCAAAATCCAAAGAAAATGGTCTTTCGTCGCCAAAAAAATTACGAAAATGCCATCAAAAAATAAATTGGCCCAAATCGGTGCTTAATGGACTTATCATCCGTGGAGAATAATATCAATAGACTTCATTATAGGTGGATATAGGCTCGGTCTGATTCCGTGATCTGTAGCCTCCAGAATCGAAACGAAATGGCATTTCAGATAAATTGCCCGAAATTTGTGATGGTACCCCTTTGGAATCTGCCAAAAATTGCCCCGGAATAAATTCGCCCAAATCGGCACTTAATGGAAATAATCATCGTTGAAGAATAGCCTCATGCAGAATCCGTGATCTGTAGCCTTCAAAATCCAAAGAAAATGGTCTTTCGTCGCCAAAAAAATTACGAAAATGCCATCAAAAAATAAATTGGCCCAAATCGGTGCTTAATGGACTTATCATCCGTGGAGAATAATATCAATAGACTTCATTATAGGTGGATATAGGCTCGGCCTGATTCCGTGATCTGTAGCCTCCAGAATCGAAACGAAATGGCATTTCAGATAAATTGCCCGAAATTTGTGATGGTACCCCTTTGGAATCTGCCAAAAATTGCCCCGGAATAAATTCGCCCAAATCGGCACTTAATGGAAATAATCATCGTTGAAGAATAACCTCATGCCGAATCCGTGATCTGTAGCCTTCAAAATCCAAAGAAAATGGCCTTTCGTCGCCAAAAAAATTACTAAAATGCCATCCGAAATAAAATTGGTCCAAATCGGTGCTTAATGGACTTATCATCCGTGGAGAATAGTATCAATAGACTTCATTATCGGTGGATATAGGCTCGGCCTGATTCCGTGATCTACAGCCTCCAGAATCGAAAGAAAATGGCATTTCGGAAAAATTGCCCGAAATCTGTGATGGTACCCCTTTGGAATCTGCCAAAAATTGGCCCGGAAAAAATTCGCCCAAATCGGCGCTTAATGGACTTAATCATCTTTGAAGAATTGCCTCAATCCGAATCCATGATCTGTAGCCTTCAAAATCCAAAGAAAATGGTCTTTCGTCGCCAAAAAAATTACGAAAAGGTCATCAAAAAATAAATTGGCCCAAATCGGTGCTTATTGGACTTATCATCCGTGGAGAATAGTATCAATAGACTTCATTATAGGTGGATATAGGTTCGGCCTGATTCTGTGATCTGCAGCCTCCAGAATCGAAACGAAATGGCATTTCAGATAAATTGCCCGAAATCTGTGATGGTACCCCTTTGGAATCTGCCAAAAATGACCCCGGAATAAATTCGCCCAAATCGGCACTTAATGGAAATAATCATCGTTGAAGAATAGCCTCATGCCGAATCCGTGATCTGTAGCCTTCAAAATCTAAAGAAAACGGCCTTTCGTCGCCAAAAAAATTACTAAAATGGCATCCGAAAATAAATTGGTCCAAATCGGTGCTTAATGGACTTATCATCCGTGGAGAATAGTATCAATAGACTTCATTATCGGTGGATATAGGCTCGGCCTGATTCCGTGATCTACAGCCTCCAGAATCGAAAGAAAATGGCATTTCGGAAAAATTGCCCGAAATCTGTGATGGTACCCCTTTGTAATCTGCCAAAAATGGGCCCGGAAAAAATTCGCCCAAATCGGCGCTTAATGGACTTAATCATCTTTGAAGAATAGCCTCAGGCCGAATCCGTGATCTGTAGCCTTCAAAATCCAAAGAAAATGGCATTTCGTCGCCAAAAAAATATGAAAATGCCATCCGAAAATAAATTGGCCCAAATCGGTGCTCAATGGACTTATCATCTATGGAGAATAGTATCAATATACTTCATTATCGGTGGATATAGGCGCGGCCTGATTTCGTGGTCTGCAGCCTCCAGAATCGAAAAAAATGGCATTTCGTAAAAATTGCCCGAAATCTATGATGGTACCACTTTGGAATCAGCCAAAAATGGGCCTGGAATAAATCCCCCCAAATCGGCACTTAATGGACTTAATCATCGTTGAAGAATAGCCTCAGGCCGAATCCATGATCTGTAGCCTTCAAAATCGAAAGAAAATGGCCTTTCGTCGCCAAAAAAATTACTAAAATGTCATCCGAAAATAAATTGGCTCAAATCGGTGCTTAATGGACTTATCATCCGTGGAGAATAGCATCAATAGACTTCATTATCGGTGGATATAGGCTCGGCCTAATTCCGTGATCTGCAGCCTCCAGAATCGAAAGAAAATGTCATTTCGGAAAAATTGCCCAAAATCTGTGATGGTACCCCTTTGGAATCTGCCAAAAATGGGCCCAGTATAAATTCGTCGAAATCGGCACTTAATGGACTTAATCATCGTTGAAGAATATCCTCAGGCCGAATCTGTGATCTGTAACCTTCAAAATAAAAAAAATGGCCTTTCGTCGCAAAAAAATTACGAAAATGCCATCCGAAATTAAATTATCCCAAATCGGTGCTTAATGGACTTATCATCCTTGGAGAATAGTATCAATAGACTTCATTATCGGTGGATATAGGCTCGGCCTGATTCTGTGATATGCAGCCTTCATAATCGAAAGAAAATGGCATTTCGGAAAAATTGCCCGAAATCTGTGATGGCACCCCTTTGGAATCTGCCAAAAATGGGCCCGAAATACATTCGCCCAAATATGCACTTAATGGACTTAATCATCGTTCAAGAATGGCCTCAGACCGAATCCGTGATATGTAGCCTTCAAAATACACAGAAAATGGCCTATCGTCGCCAAAAAATTACGAAAATGTCATTCGAAAATAAATTCGCCCAAATCGGCACTTAATGGACTTAAATATTGTTGAAGAATAGCCTCATGCCGAATCCGTGATCTGTAGCCTTCAAAATCCAAAGAAAATGGCCTTTCGTCGCCAAAAAAATTACAAAAATGCCATCTGAAAATAAATTGGCTCAAATCGGTGCTTAATGGACTTATCATCCGTGGAGAATAGTATCAATTGATGATAGTAGAAGATTAAAATCCCAAAAAAAAACCCTTATTATTCTTTAGTCCAATGATAAAGCAAAAGAAGTAGTGAGAGTCACCATTTCCTAAATTTTCAAATTGACGATTGTCGAAATATGAATTTGCTATTGGAATTTGCCGCCTTTTGAAGTCTTGTGGTTGATGATTTCATGAACTTGCTATAAATCATAAGAAAATTAAAACTATATATTGTGATTCGCTATTCATCTTAAAAAGCCTCGTGGCTAGAATAACTATAACTTTCTATAAAATGTCCATCTCCAAACTCAAATTAACAATATGGTTATTATATAACTATGAACTAAAATCTGAAAGAAAGAAGGATAGTAAGGTAACATACATTTCAAAGCTATAAATCCATACCCAAAATCCAATGATCAAATCAACTATACAAACAATACACTCTTTCAACTCCATGATTCACTGAATCTCCAACAAATCCAGAAGTTTTCAAAGCCTAAATTGTCACCAAAACCCTTGCACCAAAAAGAACAAAGTGTATACTAGTCTGTCACCTTGATTTGCAGCGAATTCCAAACATGAGCAACCAAATAAAAGCAACTGGTAAAAGCCAGAACGGAGGCTAAAGTTAACTAATTATTAGCATGAATGAAGATAAAACTCTCTACGTAACAACAAAAATTAAAAAACAAAACAACGGTCAGATATCCAATCCCGCACAAGAGCTAGGATTTATAGAGGCAAAAGAAATAAGTCGGAAAAAATCCCAAAATACACACATTATTAAAAAAAATTCTCAAAATACATATGTTATAAAAAATATTCCCAATCTACACATGTTTTGACTTCACCGCAGCCGTCAGACGCGGTGAACAGTATCACCGCAGCCGTCAGACGCGGTGAACACTTCACCGCGACCGTTGAACACGGTGAATAGTTCCTGGCCATTCACCGCTGGTGTCCCACACGGTGATGGCCTGATTACCTTAATTAACTGGATCACTTAATTGGAGGCGAAATAGTGAGAGCCGAGAGGCGAAAGCTTGAGAAAAGACAGTGGGGATTCTGGGGAATCAAATAGTGTATGCGACCAGAGAAATGAAATTCAAGCTCCATTGGGTTGGGGGAAAAACCCCTGGGTTGGTATCAGATCCCGGTGGCCGATTTTGGGTTGTCGCCGTCGCCGACGAGGCACTCGGCGATGCGAGTATTGCGGAGGCGCTGAGACGCTGCCCGGCCCTTCTGCAGGATGGTGTTGGACGACAAAACCTTGACGATCAGGATGTTGTTTTGGGTCCCCAACTTCAGCTGGCCGACTTTCACAAACACATGCTTCTTCTTCTCCACCACCATCCTCGCGCCCTGCTGCTGCTGATTCGAAGTTTTGCTTTTTGGAAAAGGAATGGAAAACGCTGTGGATGAATGGAAGGTAAGGTTGGGTCAGAATTTTGGCCGATTGGCATTCATTTCTATATCTCTCTTCTCGGACCAACCCGTAAGGTTGACAGGAGGAGGATTAATGGCGCAACGGCGGCGAGAATCGGGGGAATCCAATGGGAAAGATGCGAGGTGATTGGGATTCCGGTCAAAGCAAACAAAAGGTTTTTGGGTTTTGGCTGTTACCACCCATAATTGGGTCTGCACATTATATTGTGTATTTTATCAAGTAATCAAGCCATCACCGCGTGGGAGACCAGCGGTGAATGGCCAGGAACTATTCACCGTGTTCAACAGTCGCGGTGAAGTGTTCAACGGTCGCGGTGAAGTGTTCACCGCGTCTGACGGTTGCGGTGATACTGTTCACCGCGTCTGACGGCTGCGGTGAAGTCAAAACATGTGTAAATTGGGAATATTTTTTATAACATATGTATTTTGAGAATTTTTTTTAATAATGTGTGTATTTTGGGATTTTTTCCAAATAAGTCTTCACCAACATATGGCTCTCCCCCAATTCAGCTTTCATCAATAGCTTTGACTATGTACACACTGTAACCGCATCCCAGACATATTTGTCATAGTTACCTCAATCTCACAGCCCAAAGAAAAGTAATCACCATTGCAGCAGTTAGAGAGTCATTTGGTTATTCCCGAAAAAAGCTCGAGCTGAGAGCAACCGAACATATCAAGACGACTGTGTTCTGTGGCTAATCTGCGGTGTAAAGAGAGTAAATATCCATGGGAGCATATGTGCAGCCGATGGCGTTCTTCTTCAATCTGCCATTTGGAAAAGACCTTCTGTGTCGATCAAGATATATCACGATCACAGTGATATCATCGTGAATGTGCCGCCTTACTCCCTTCCTTACATTCTTTATGTCATCGTATCTCAACTCTTTCTTCCTTGCTGCTTCATTGAGGGCAGCTCTCACCAGTCGCTTTGCAATTCCCTGCAATTCAACCCCAGCTCACACAGGTTAAGACAAACTACACTATAGGCTATAGCCACAAGATTTTCTTACAGCGGCAATGGAACTCTCTGGTTGAAAGATATGGGGGGAACTCACGGCTCTGGGATTATTTAACACAATCTCTACTGCTTCTTCGTCAGTCAATTGTTCCCAAAGACCGTCTGAAGCAAATATGAGGAATTGATCTTCTGGCATCAGCTTCCTTATTAGAACTGAAGGTTCTGCTGTCACCACAGCCCGTTTCAAGGGGACAGGATTGCCGAATTGCTGGAAGAAAGGATCTAGATTGACCTCAGGCTTCTTTAGATATATGTCCCCGATAGATCTTGATACCTGTAAGGTAATAACAAACACATGGAAATTCAGAGCAATGTTATTAATGCAGTAGTAAGTAAAGGCTCTACTAAACTGTGAGACGCTAAGCAAAACAGTCAAAAGTCACCATAGAAGAAGCAAGTATTTCCTGATATGCAAGAAATAGGGGGGAAAACTAGCCTTCCTGTAATTAAACAAGGATTATTGTGTTCAGGGGGGCCGCCCATCATGTTCATCTCATGCATGGAAGTCAAAAAACTGCTTAACTTTGTAGCATGAGACGTTGGCCAGGACGAGGCGTTGCACCAGAATCCTGGAAGAGCAAGCATAGGATGACCACCCTTATTAGAACACATCTTTTAACTACAGAGAAAACCGAACCACCCGACATAAGTTCAAGATACACACACAACAGGCTTATCTTGGAAGTTCAGACTCGGTCAGAGGAAGGATGAAACATTTACCATTTTACTCTAAATCACCTGAAACCGTAACTGCAGTACCACACTAATAACAGCCAATTTTCACCAAAAACGAAATTCCCAACAGACAGGTTTCTAGTGAAACTCAAAAAGGGAGCCAAATTGTAGCAAGCACCTGAATTATGCCCTTTATCCTCCAACAACCACGAGCAAACATGACAATCTGGGAATCATCAGGATGAAGTGCCTCAACCTCTTTCCTAACTTCCTCAACTTTAACATTGTGGTCTGTTGATAGTCTTTCTGCAATCACCGATTTTCTCTTATCTTGATTCGCCTTTCTGCCAAGCACTGCCCTCGAGTCCCCGAGGTTAGCTACGTATAACACCTCGTTGGATATGGCACCAACCAGACAGCAAGAACCTACAGAAGCAATTTGAGGCTTCACTTGGAGTGATCGCTTCACTAAATGCCAGAATTCCTCTTCAGTTGCATTGAATGCCTTCTTTATCACATCAACAGACAAACCTCCTTGCTCACTCGCGAATTCTTCAATGAACAGAAAACAAAAAAAAAAAAACAGATTAATTAGGGAAGGAACAATCAAATAGTCAAGCCTTCAAAGGAAGCTAAATAACCTGCTAGAAAAGCAGAATTCTAGATGCCCAACTGTATGCCATATCGTAAGGAATATGGATAAAGACATTCTACTGTGGAAGTCCAACTTGCACAAGAAGGATGAAGAGAACGAAACCAGCAAACTAAATAGCTCATCCATGGTATTGTTTATGAAGGAATTCAAAGTAGACCAACGCCGGCATAACATAAACAAACACAACACAATTGAGAGAACGGGAAGTAGAATGAAAATCAAAACGAGGAACTAGCCGCAATCTCAAAACCCTAAAAGCAGGGCGAAGAAGTTTGAGGTGAGAAATTAGGGGTGACGAGAGAATTTACTGTGCATGAAAGGGAAGAGGTGCTTGTTGACAAATCTAGAAGCTTCCGGGCCACCATGTCCGTCGTAAATCCCAACATAAGTCACCGACGGAGACGTGTAAACCTGACTCTGATCCTCCATGTTCGAATTCGCCTGTACCGCCGCGATCGAGTAGTCGCCCGAGGCGTGCGGCTTCAAATCCGAGTGCCACAACAGCCCATCGCTACCACCACCGCCGCCGCGTCGGGCGAAGCATCTCTCCAACGGCCGGCAGCAAGAGCGCAGCATCATCGTATATTCCCTCTGCGACCACCACTGTCTCTCACCCGCTCCGTTTCGTCGTTCTCTGATCGGCCTTTTTTTTTTTTGTTGTTGTTGTTCACGGCCACTCTGTTCCCGACCTTCCCCTGTTTCGTCTGCTCTGTTTCTGTTCGCTCGCTCCTCCGGCGCCGGTGCTGCTAAGAATTCCGACGAGAATTTAAGGATAAGGAGGCTGATGCTCGATTAGGTCTGGATCGACAGAGGGGAAGAAAGGGGAATTAAAAGGGGAGAGAAAAGTGTTAGCGTGTGAGGAAAAGAAGAGGGAAAGCAATACAAATAAAGAGGGAAAGAAAAGATGCCGCGTGAGAAGAGAAGAGAAGAGAAGCCAAGCGACTCGCGCCGCGGCCGGGTCGAACGTAAACGTGAATCCAGGGGCCGAGGCTGGCTTTCCCTTTCTCCGTTCTCACTTACTTCCCGTTTATACTTAACGCGTTACTTTACCTAATTATTAATAATATAAAATTAAGGGTAAGGATAAATACAATTTAATATCCAAACCTTTCATTTTAAACAATATAATAGTCAAACCTTTTCGAAAACAATCTAATATCCAAATCGTCAACTTTCCGTCCGTTTGACCGTTAGTTGACACTTCAAAAAATTGGGAATTAGGGTTCTGCAACATCAGACAGCCCGACCCACCTTCCCCTTTAATTTTCGTTCTTTAGTTTTTGGTTTTTAGTTTTCAATTTTTTTTAATTAAACCAACCGGCCCAATGTGAAAAATCGGACGACCGGCTCGAGCGGTTAACCGAGCGGCCGCCCTAGAGAACCAGTCCGGCTAAAGAGCCGATCCGAGCCGATTTTGTGTCCGATTGGCGATTTTGGCGGGTCGACCAGCCGGCTCGGCTCGGCTTTCACAACACTGGTTCAACCATCCAATACTCGACCCAGCAAGCTGGGACCCGGTCAATCGGAGTTAACAATATTGTTGACCAGTCATCTCTGTGTTCCCCACTCCGTCTACCTTCTTCTCCAAGAACTAGAACGCCCTACCACCGCCTGACACACAAATCCCAGGCCAGTAAAAAAAACCCCACAACAACACCGCCGCCGCCAACAACTACACGGCGGCGCTTCTCCCTCTTGGAGGTTTTCCTTCAAAATGAGCGGAACCTTCATGACCAAATCCAGCGTCCTCCGCGTCCTGCACGCCAACACGATCACCCACATCACCGACCCAACCGCGGCGGCGGCGGCGGCGGCGACCACAGCCCATGGTCTTTTGAGGAACCAAACGAAAAGTTTGCAGCCCAGAGCTCATTACCACCTGGGCTTCCCTTCTCATCTCTTCAGGAAATCCAGAGAGTGCGTCAATGACATCTCTCCTTCCCTCTTCTCTTCAGCCTTCTCTTCGTCCTCTTCTTCTACGTCTACTGCTCCGTTGGCGAGTAGGATCCCGTTTGTTTCGTGGTACCTGGACATGGTGAAGTCCCGTCCTATATTGACCAAGAGCGTCACAGCCTCGTTTGTTTACGCTGCAGCTGACCTATCTTCTCAGGTAAATTCTTCGAATTCGAAACTTGGGGTCTTTTCCAGTTTTGTGTATTTTGTTCTTTGGACGCAGACATTTGTGGTATACTTAAAATCTCTGAAGGTGTCAAAATCTACCATCAATCTAGCCCTTGTTCTTCTGTTCCCAAATCTGCACTACTTTCGAATATTGGTTAATTTAGGGTTGAGGGTAATTGATACACATATGCCGCCTTGTGTTTGTACTTCAAAACAGACATTGTCAAAGACGAGCTCTGAATCATATGACCTGGTGCGGACATCGCGCATGGCTGGATACGGCCTGCTAATTCTGGGGCCATCGCTTCATTTCTGGTTCAACTTCGTCTCGAGGATGTTCCCAAAGCGAGATGTCATGGCAACGTTGAAGAAAATGGCCATGGGACAGGCCATTTATGGACCCATTATGACTGTTGTGTTCTTCACCACGAATGCACGATTACAGGGTAAGTGTGGGGTATATATATAACCATTGCTTCTTGTTTTTCTTCTCTCTTTTTGGGGTTGATACTATGTTGATGGATGCCGATAGGATTAAAAGCATTCGAATTTTCCATGTCAAATGACGGTTGTCTCAGGTGAGAGTGGTCCTGAGATAATGGCCCGCCTGAAGAGAGATGTAATCCCCACAATGATCAATGGTGCCATGTACTGGCCCTTATGTGATTTTGTTACATTCAAGTTCGTCCCTGTCCATCTCCAGGTAAATTACATCCACGTTCCTGATTCCCTTTTGATTTCATCTCATGATCATTCAGCTGGTTTCAATGTTCTTCACTAAATGATGATGTATGCTGTTGTTTTCTTTTGATTTGTGCAGCCATTGGTGAGCAATTCATTCTCCTACTTGTGGACTGTCTATATGACATACATGGCGAGTAAAGAAAAAGTGGCTGCGCCTGCTCCAGCGAGTTAGCAGCTCAAAGCTCGAGTGGTGTATTCTGCAGCTCTGCCTTGGCTGATTCGAGTACCAGGAACCCTGATTCAACCGTGAATAGAGTGTGATTCATCCTATTCCTATGGCTTGCGTCGGGGTTGATCGAGCAGCAGATGCTGCCTTCCGTTGCATTGATTTGAGTTTCTGTTTAGAGGGGTTTTGTGCAACTGGATGAATAGATTAGCATGTCAGTGAAAATAGGTCAATGTTTACTGTTGTTGAAGCAGGGACCTTATGTTCTTCCTAACTTTGTAATGGAATTTGTCCACCCCAAATTTATGGAGGGTTCGCTTATGGAACTACGACCCATCCAATTTTCTTCAAGTATCTATAATCATCTATACTATGAAGAATCTATTGATTCCAATTTGCTGTGGAAGGAGAAATTTTAGATCCCTGCTTCCAGTATTTCATATTATGTGGGGAGTATCATACTAAAGAGCTGACAGCTGATTAACAAAAGGCACTGTTTTATTTCAATGATAATGTTATTACATTGCTACAAGATGATGATAAGAAAATCAGGACAGAAGCTAGTTGAGGAAGAATGTTCCTAAACTTCCCCACGATGTAGAAACTCCCTAAACTGTACTAGTATAACATGTTTTTCCTTCACTGGTCATCACTCATCAGTACTCGTAATATTATTAAAAACATGTCGCCTCTTATCAGCAAATACAGCAGGCTGGACTCATTCCCCTCAGCCAAACGCCCAAACCTCGCAAGAATTCCCGCACAAGTCAACAGCAAAACTCAGTAAACCAATCGACTGCTATAAATGAGTCCCCACCAATGTCATGCGTTGTATTCACTAATTTCCAATCAATCAGTAGTTATTTTGCCTAATGATGTTGCTAGAACTCATCAGAAGCACGCAAGGTAACTTTCTCCAGCTGCACAGCCCAATCAGCTCCAAACATTTGGGGGTTTGACTCTGCCGATATCCGGAAGTCCAGCATTGACCCAGAACGAGATACCCCCTCTGAACCTTGCATCGTGAAGCGGCTACTTCTTGCTGCGTCATGCAAGAAGCCGCCACTTCTAGACCTTGAGCAAGCTGCTAAACCCAGACAAGGCTCAACCAGCCTCTTCAAATATGCATCCAATGCATTATTCAACAGGTTAACACAATCCAATGACACATGCATACCCTCTGCCTGCAACTTCTGCTGCAAACGGTTCCTCAATAATCTTGTATCAGGTAGCTCACCACTGTTCTGACACGTCCCGTGATAAAGGTTAGTAGTAGCCCTACCACATAGAGACAAGTTTGATAAAGCTTTACGACCCAAATTCATCGATATTCCAAAAGGAGCAGTAACAGGACATCTACTCTGAACACCGGGACTTCCAGCAAATTGTTCAACCTCTTCCCCTTCTTCCACTGATGCAACGTCCACAGGTGGCGGCCTACTACCAAGAGAAAGCAACTCTGTAGCACTTTGTTGTTGTTCCTGTGCCCTAGAAATCAACTCATCACTTAATAGCACATTCTGGGGCTTGCTGCTAAGTGGCCCAAGCGGACTAGGACGGTCCTTAAACTTGCGGTTAATAGGGGACCTGCCCTTTCGTGTGGATGGAGAAAACGCTGCTTCCCCATAGAGCGACTGGAGGCTACTTCTATCCAAGACTTTAGCATTTGGGGTTGTGGGTACTCTTTTTATACTTCCAAGTGGCGGAGGAACCTTTCCGAGGCTAGCATTCTTGATAATCGATCTAATGAGCTGGTTGTGGAGGGGGATATTTTCTCTGCCGACGATCCTAGCACAAGATTTATCGAACTCCGATTTGGTGGTCTTCAAACTAATCAATCTTGTGAGCTGGTCAAAGTACTTGTCAGCTCTATGATGCCCAATCCTTTTAGTAAGTAGAGCCTTGATCTCCAAAGTATCAACCCGCTTGTAGCTCTGCTTGGATGACATTGCAGAAGAAGAGTCAAACCACCTCAATTCTTTGCTCTTCTACCAAGGAATAGCCACCATATCACAGAATCCAAAACATCCACAACCCTAGCTCCTCCAAAACTTACCCAATCTGCAAAGTAGCAAGCAATGAATCTCAACTTAGAGCAGATCATTAATTTAACCAGATCCTAATGAAGAAAAGAACTCAAAAACCAAAGTTGCAGCTCGTAACACAACTCCTGGGGTTATCAGGAACTGAAAGATCCAAGTGGATAAGGAGCAATGAAAGGAAACCATTCAAGGAAGTTCACGGTAACTCACGAATTCTGGGAAAAGAAGAAACAACATCATGAAATGTAGCAAAGTAAAGCGGAAAGTTCATTCGAACCTGAATTGTGCAGAATGCAAGTAAAAATTAGAGAGCCGAAGAGGGAGCTGAGTTCGAAGCTAGAAGCAGTTGAAGAGCTGAATTCAAAGATGGCGGAGAAGAGAGCGAGAGAGGGAGAGAGAGAATTGAGCTTTCGTACCAAATGGATAATTTGGGGGAATAGGGTTTCCGCTCTCCCTTCCGACCTGCTTGGCGCTTTCTTTTTTGTGTCTCCGGTGATCGACCGACGCGACGACTGGATCAGGATGTCTTTGCCTGTGGTCGTTTGTCGGACCAGTCTACGCAGAAACTTGGACCAACTATTGAAAGGGCGCTGAGTTCCGTCATATTGGATTATGGGCCTTTCTTTGCTCTTGTAGCAATATAGGCCCAGTTCAAGTTTTTACCGATTTTCAGTTTAATCTATTTGTTTATTTATTTAAATCAGCTGTTTTTCCCCCTTCTTTTTGCTAAAGGTCATGTAAGTGATTAGATCTCAATCTATTGGTTTAGATTCGACCAATAATAAATGTACGGATAAGATTGATTACATACGGAAACTCAAATCAAACCAAATGAATTCCAATTATCAATAAACCGTTAAGCAATTGAGTCAAACTATGTTGTATGGGATGACATATTTTTTTAAAAAATTGGTTAGGAGCTAGCAGGCATCACTAAGCCTCAGACCGGATTGGGAAAAAAGGAAGAGGATTCAAAAAGAAAAGAAGTGGGCTAACTCTAATAGTCAAAGAAACGAGCGGAACCCGCTAATAATCCTTGTCTTTTCGAAGTCGTCGACAACAATTGTTTTTTAAATAGTCGTTGAACTCTTGAATTCATTGTCAGTCGTTTCATTTTTGTGCCTCTTTTTTATTCTTTTTATATGAATGTGATCGAGGAAACTTGAGGCATCCCTTCTTGTTTTCTGGTCGAATTTCGGGCTATAGAGAAATTTTTTTTTTTGGTTGTTTTCATTTCAAGGTAACATGAGTCATGAGAAAATTTATGGAAATACCATGACGGATTTTTTTACCGTGCGTCACTGGCGGAGTGGCGGTGGCGTAATCGAGCTAAATCCCAACTCGAGCACTTCTTTTCTTCGACCCGAACAAATGTCGGACAATCCGCTGCAGCATCTCTCCCAGGCCTTCCAGCGCTTCACGCGCTGCGTTCAAACTCAAGTTTCCAATCTGATGCCCCAACCTCAAAGCCATCCGCCTTTCGTATCCGCTTCTTCTTCGTCAGCATCTTCAATAAAAGTGGTTCCATCAAATGTAGATGTCGCCTTCGTCCAGCCCATGGATGCGTTCATCAAGGTAATTTTTCATGTTCTATCTTACTCCTGACATGCTAGTGTTGATGTTACGGTCGAATCGCCGTTCCGGGTACTCGTTTGAAGTAGTTTCTGAAATCCGGGTTCGGCCCTGATGGCGCTCGTGAGTAATGCACAGCAACTGTTCGACGAAATTTCCCAGTGGGCGTTAGTAGTGTATACTGTATGGTACTCAGTTTTATCGATTTTGCGGAACGGCACAAAATTGTAGTTCGTTATTTCTCTTTTTAAGTCTTGGTCGAAGGGAGATGACCAGCAGCAGTTGCAGTGGCGCCCAGCTCATTTCCCGTCTGTGTTTACTTCTTCACCAGTTAGATAATTGATCCGGAACCAGGATTTTCAGGTCAAATCTGGAATACAGGGTTCTCCATCTTTCAAGATGTTCTTTAAAGGCTTCGACTTTGGAATCGATCGGACAAAATATCTAGATTTTCGTACATACAAAATGGGAATCGGGTTTCGGTTTCCAGAAGGAAACGGTTTTGAGTCTCATTCTGAATATCCATTTACTTTGCTGAACTCTTCCTTTTATGCATACCGTATGGAAGCTTTGGAAATGAGCCACCGTGATAGGACATATGCCGCTTTGGTAACTCCATTGGCATAATTAGACAAGGATGTGCTATGACAATTAAGTAAGCCTTAATTAGCACAGATGTTCTTGGTTTTGTGTGGTACCTAGAAAATGGAAACTGTAGAGACAGGAATCTCTAACTATAGTATCATTATTTTCCTCAGAACAAAGCTCCCGTGACTAAAGAAGACCTTGGAAGAGCTACCTGGACTTTTCTTCATACACTTGCTGCTCAGGTATCTCGTACCTACATATTTGGCAACTTATTACTAACACCTGCTCAAATTGCTTACAGAGACATAGTTCTTCTTTGTGTTGCTACTTACTAGTCATTTTTACCAGTTGAAAATGGTTGCTCATTTCATAGTTTTGTTTTTAGTTTCATGGATTGTTGATGCTGTAATTTTGCTGTCATGTAAAATCAACATAGTTTAAATGAAGTTCACTGTGGAGTTGATCTTATAATGATTTTCTTTCACAGTATCCTGAAAATCCAACTCGACGACAAAAGAAGGATGTGAAAGAGCTGGTATGCTTTTCTTTCCCATCTGGATTTATATGTTTCTTCGAAGGAGTAGGACAGGTGTATTGATTGGACACTTAGTTCTGGATCCGCAACTTGTCAATGAATTTTAAACATAATACTGCAGTTGCCTTTCGATCCCCAATCAGATATTAAAAAAAAAAAATAGCGAAAGAGGCATTTTGCTGGTACCTTTTCTCAGATGTAGTAAGTGCAAAACCATAGAGGTACCTTCAATAGAGTAATACCTCCGAAATCTTGTATGCAGATGGCAATATTATCTCGGATGTACCCCTGCAAGGAATGTGCAGATCACTTCAAGGAAGTTCTGAGGTATATTTTTCGTCGTTTTTACAGAATTACTTCCTCTTAGTGTTGCTTTCAGCATTGGGGTTGGTAACATTTCTTCCTGTTCTTCTGTTAGAGTCATACTTCTTATTAAGTCAGAATCATGCTACAATTTCAGCAAGGCCACCCACCCTTATTTAGATGTTCAAGGAAACTGAATGTCTCCTTCCTTTTACTTTTAATTTTGTTGCTTCCCTTTGTTTCTTAGTATCCAGAGGGTGAAAATAATGTGTTAGCAAATATGTTAACTAGAGTTTTTTTTTTTTTTTTTATCATGGATGGCTGAAATATTATTACCACCTTCAACAAACAGATCAAATCCTGTACTGGCCGACTCTCAAGGTGACTTCTCCCGGTGGATGTGTCATGTACATAATGTTGTCAACAGAAGGTAAGCAGATCTTCTCAGTGTTGTTTTTTATTTATTTTACTGGGAGCCTTTTTAAACCCTCAGGCATAAATAGCTCTTCAGCAGATGAACGGAACATCATTGTTGGGATATCATGTGGTGTAGTAGCTAATGATGTCACTTTATCTTGTTTATTTTGAACAACAGCCTTGGTAAGCCAGTTTTCGTTTGTGAGCGTGTTGATGCACGGTGGGGCAAGCTTGACTGCGAGCAAAGGACGTGTGATCTTCACGGGACAACACCACATTTTGGAAGAGACTACTAGCGCACGATTCGTGCTATCATGTGTTCATCAATCCATATTGCCTTGCATAACTTGAAACATATAGGTATATCTTCGTAGTTGGTGACGGGTCAGTAGACTAGTCGGGATGGCATCATCAAATTGATACATATGTAAGTCTTGCAGTACATCAGCTACAGCTAGCTTAGCTACATGGGTCGTCAACTAGCGGATGATTTCTTCGGCAGTCATAGTACTGCAGAATGATGAGGGAAACAAGTTTGTTGCCTGAGTAGAAAGATTATACCAAGGTTTATGTCCTGAAAGAAACTAGGTACTTTGCTACTAGCCCCATGTAATCATTCGGCCACTGTGTTTGTAACTAGATCATAATAATGCATATCCAACACGATTTTCAGAACCGTAGCAGACAAAAGTAAAACCCGACACTCCACATATCAAAAGAAAGGGAAAACAACAGAAGACTTGGCAAGCAAGGTGAAGATCAACTCGTCCCAGAAGAAGTTGTTCACTCTGTGGCAGGAACGCCTCCCGGGATGAATGGAGGAGCCTCGCCGAACTTCAAGATGTAAGCTGTTTCATGCACATGCCTCAGCTGCTCTATTGCCGTTGCATCTAGATACGCATCACACGCGAAACACCACACCGATAGGTCACTGCATTGTTCGACGCGGTGTAATCGTTAATGCAAGCCAGTAGACAGACGGTAGTAAACAAGGAAGTAGTAGTAGTAGCAGCGAGAGTTAAAAACCTGTAGCTGAGAGCCACACAATGGTTGGTCTGCTGCTGGTAGTGTTGCAGCATGTGCTTGTTCACAAAACGGCTGCACAGGACTTCCTTGCAGGACAGGCACAGCCAGTTCTCCTTTGGATGCTCGCACCTAGACAAGATTCCCACAGTGGAAACCAAACCAACTCAAACCCACTAGTCCCATTACAGGGGAATTTCAGACTACGAAAGTGGTGATTCGATCTAGCAGAAACAGAGGTTGAACGAACGCCATAGAAAGGGGAAGGGGGCAATTTATGAAGGAAAAGAACCTGGAGCAAAAGGAAGCGGGACTGGGAATGTGAGTGAGATCAGGGGAGAGTGAAGCAGCCAGGTGATTGCAGGACTTTCGGGCCTCCACCCAACCCGACTCGGCTCCGTAGTATAGTAGCGCCTGATCATCTTCTTCCCCCTAAAAGATTGCAACCCAAAAAACATAATTGGAAAATAAAGAAGAAAAAGCGCTTCGATTCAGCGGTCTCTGCCCTAGATTTGGTCTCTTCTGCACTTACCGATTGGGCAAACGAAGAAGAAGCAACGGACGCAGGTATATCTCGACTCGCCATTTACAGAAGGCTCAGATTGGGAAATGGTCGACCTTTCCTTTCTTATTAACGGCGCCCGATCAGTCTCTGCACGCTGCTTTGGGATTCAGGCGCGGTTTGTAGAACGAGGGGTCAGAGGTATACATGGTGAGATATTTTTATCTAGACGTTGAATTAAATCGAGATTTGGGTATAATAGATTTGGGTATGATATTATACCCAAATCTTAATGGATAAATTCTAAGTCCTGATTCTCTAAACTCAAATCCGAAATTCACTTTAATAGAAAATATTAATTGACCGTTGAGATTGGTCGGAGCTTAGAAAAGAAGATCTAACGGTCATGTCACACGGAGTACGGTATACTCTAGGAGTATAGCAGTCATTACCATAGAACGAGAATCGTTATAAGGAAAAACAACTCAGGCCATTTGAAAAATGGTGGACCAAAGTAGATCGCACAATTTGATCTAAACCGTAGACCATTAAAAATGACCGGGTATGCTTCGTGGCCTATATTATATGATACTTAGGGTGTTAAAACACAGTGGTTACTGGTTACCGTGGTAACCATATTAACCGGTAGCATTCAGTTAATTTGGTTTGGTTAATATGGATAATTGGTTTGGTTAATTTTTTTAGCTTATTTGTAGGGCTGGGAAACGGTGCGGTCTGGTCCAGACCAGACCATATATAAGGTTTACGGTCCAGACCGAGAGGCTAAAGTATAGACCACAGACCAGACCACAGACTATACGGTCTGGTCCAGACCACGCCTGTGCGGTCTGGTTCGGTCTGGTCTGGTCCAGATAGACCACACTCAACGAAAAATGAATAATTTGTTTAGTCAACCACACAAAAAATTGAATCAATAACCAAAAAAAATAATTGTTATTTGCCTTAAAACATTAATCCTAACATGCATGAATAATTTTGATACTCTAAATCTTAGTACATAACAAAGCAAAGATACAAAGTAAAAGCATCTCAGCTTGCACCATAATGTCATAAACATTAATATAATGTCATATGGAGACACGATTATCTCTACTCTGTGGTTAAATGTGGTTGTGAATGAAGGAGGGAAGAGATTCACAAAATTAAAGTTGAGACTTGGGTGTCGTTGTGGGAGTTTGGAGAGTGGTCGAATGGATTGTTAACACGTATTGACAAGTCAGTTGGGTCTACGGTTTGGTCCGGTAAACCGCGGTCTAGACCAGACCAGACCAAGAGATCAAATTATAAAATAATACAGACCATGGACCAGACCAGACCATACTTCACGGTCTACGGTCTGGACCAAACTGTGCGGTACGGTTTGGACCACGGTTTTTCTAACCGTCTGGTCTATTTTCCCAGCCCTACTTATTTGGTTTAGATGGTTTGGTTTGGTTTCAACACTGCTAACCAATGACACCAATTAACCAATCAATGATACACCTAAAATACAAAATTATTTATACTTCCATGCAACCAACCAAACCAAACTTTCGTGATTCCCTGTTTTATTTCCATGTGCACAACAAAGACACGGTTAACTCGAATAATGATGATGATAATCATGGATGGTTAGTCTTATTATTATTGCTTATATATAATGATAATTTACGATAGTAACAACATATGGTTATGTTTTATTCATTAACGGGATTATTGTTTTCGTATAATGTTGCGTTATTTGGTTAATCCAATTATCTGATTAATCAAACCAATTAAACTTTGATTTAGTTAATTTGGGTTTCGTGTTAATTTGAACGGTTTGGTTAAGACATCTTATTTCATGGTTGATGAAATTTAGGCTTAATTGGTTTGGTAATTACCACGGTAACCATTTGAACACCCCTAATGATACTAGCTTATAACCCGACCTGTTGATCGGAGGTAGCTGAGCCGAATATTGAATTATTGGTATGAACTCATGTATATTATGAGGGGAATAAGTGACATGAATTTGTTTCAGGATTACCATCAATTATTAACCGTTTAATCATCACTTAGTAAATAGCTAAATTTAGCTATTGAGCACCGACCATATTGTTTAATCGATTATCGATAGAACCACTAATCACGATTCTATTTCGGTTATCGGTTACACTAGATAAATGTTTAGCTCATCTATACAAAGTTGAAATAAGGTTATGTAGTGCTATAGTACATTGGGTTTTGCTACTTTACCTGATCACTTTTCCCTCTCTTCTTTGTTGCTCCTTCTCCAAACGTGACCTAGCTTCTCTTTTTCTCCAATACATCTTCTCTTTGGGTAGAAACTAGAAAGTCCAATCCGTCTCCTGAAAGTTCCGCCATTCCAATCTTCGCCGAGAAGGAGCCAATTGGCGGCCGGGGTATCGCATCCTCCCCATCCCCCCATGTCTCGACGAGACCGAGACCGAGATCGCGACCGCGACCGCGGCAGGGAGCGTTACGAGCGCGATTTCAACACCAGACGATACCGCTCCGGCTTCGACAGGGAACCCAGGTACCCATTTCTCTCCCTTCTGCGCAAAGTATGAATCATCTGGAAAACCCCTGGCAGATTTTTCCGGTTCTAATTATTGCTTGAATAAAGCTGGAATTGGAATGGCTGATTAGTTCGCAAGATTTTCTGGGTTTATATAATCTGCTACTCCTGGGACGAACTAAGCTGTGGGTCACTCCCGTGCAGTTGAAGTTGCTGTATGAGTGTGCTATGTTACTGATTCTTGTAATGGACCTTTGAGCGAACGGTGCGAGAGTAGGATTTAGGTAAATGGCTCCTCAAGTCGAGGTTACATAAACATTAACAAATGGATGGAGAAACCTGATTGTCTTAATCAGTGGGCATAAAACTGAAACTTGGGTTCTCTATTCCACTCCCAAGCTTTGCTCTTTCTAGTTTCCAAGAGTGTTAATAACTGCTTCATTTGGTGTGGTGTTCTATTCTATTGTTAAGTCTGGAAAGGGGGATACCTTAATATTTACTCCTATGAACCAAAAGGAATGGGATCAACCAAAATGTATGCTGTGCCAGTGAGGAGTAGTTACTATTTGTCATTCTTTCTCTATTTGTTTGTTTGGAGATCTAGAATCCGTTTATGCTTACACTAGTTTCAGCTTTCCAGATTGGTCCCTCAGAGAATGCTCTGGTTGAATGACTAATCAGATAAAGGAATGCCTAAAGTTAACTTTGAACTTAGCTAGCTCCATACGTTGTTTTGAATACCATGCTGCATTCGCTTAAAAGCTCTCAGTAATTATACGGCGGTTGCTTCTTAAGAACCTGGCAGTGCCCATAGTGAACTTCTATGAGGAGCCAGACACAGTGGTTGATGGATTGGCTTGACATATTCTCGCCATTTTCCCCACACCTCGTGTATTCATCTATTTACCTGAGGATATCGGAAGCGTAGTTCACTTGGTTTCTTATATAGTAAAATCCATTTTTTTCCCCCGACCCTGTAAAGTCTAACATATTGTAAATTTTATCTGAGTTGTCTTCCGGTGAATGTGTCTTATAGTCCCAAGAGGTCTAGGAGGGACGAGAAGCTAGAGACACAGAAAGTGTTTAGCGAACCTAATCCTGAAAGTGGAGATTTGACGCATCATTCTGAAAGCGGTCATGTCAAGACGCAAGATGCAGTAGTACCTCTTGTTTCTGCACCAAGGCCTGATTCTAAGTTGGAATCTGCTGATGATAAGAAAGAACTTGAAAAGAAACCCAATGAGCAGCATCATGCAGATGTTACCCCAAGTACCAATTCAAAGGAAGAGCCTCGATCTCGAACTTATTTCCAGGTTCACCTGAATGTCTCTTCTCTTGGTCTTCTGGAATTCTATTGGAATTGGTTGGTTTTACATGCTTTTTTGGTTATCCTAACCTTTTGCTGTATATCCAACCTGGCCATAAAGTTCATAAGTTACTTCCCTGTGAAAGTCTTGCCTGAATATATAGTATTTGACCAACTCTGCTGGTTGATTTTTATTACATATTGGCTGCAGAGTGTTTATTTAGCTGTTAGTTTGGTGCTACTTACTTCCATAAAGATATATAAGTTTCTCTCTCTGGAGAGTATTCCTTGGTATCCCATGATTGGGAGAGTAAGCATATGTTTTCTGTGTCTGTTTATTGCCTCAACTTGGCTGCATGCATGATATAAACACAGTGGACTCTGCTAATGAGAATTAAAGAATTGTATCAAGGCGCAAATATCTGGTTTGTAAACTCCACTTGTAATAACGGTTGTTTCTCATTATGGTTATCCTGTTCGCCTGGGTATTTGAAGTTTGAGGAGTCATTATACTATGAAGCTAGCAGTAGATAGTTGCTAGTAATTGCTCAGGTTTGGGCCACAAAATATTTCTCTGAGTGGCTTTGCAGCTCTAACTTGCCTTATGAGCAGTTGATAAATAAAGTACCTTTGAAAAATAATCAAACTCAATATGTCTTTGGGTTTTCCTCTGAGGATTCTGTGGTTCCAGAAGAGAGGTTCTTTAATTATCGTTTCATTTCAACTTATTAAAAAAAGTCTTCATCTAAAATCAAATGAGATTGGATCTTCCATGATCAGAGACTATTTTGTTAATCATGTGGAGTTGAAGCAGGTCATGTAAAATATTTCCCAGTGCTCCAAATTGGTCATTTGATTATTGTTATGCTAAATACTCTTGTTATTATTCAGTGTAAACAGACATTTTTTGGGGCTGATTCAGCAGGATTGTTGTTCGTCCCATGCCTTCCAAAGCTCCATCCATGTATATAACAATCTTAGGCTTGCCTGTGGATGTTTTTTAAAAGCAGGATGACCGACGTAATGCTGGGCAAGCTGGCCGAGGCGTTGTTCGTAGATCCTCCACTGGTGAGTTTGCTCTAGCAATTTCTTTCTCCATTGGGTTAACTAATGATGTGTATCTTCTGAGTATAAATGCAGCTATATGGGCTCTGAATATAATGGAAATCAGAATGTTTAAATTTTGTTACACAGGTCTATGGTTAGTGGAAGATTGGCATTCTGTTTGAACTTCAAGTGCTTTTTTGGCGTACATACTGTATATTTTGGTCGTACACAGTATCAAAGAGGTTTTAAAAGAACATATATGTTGTGGAATTTTCCTTGAATCTGATGTCCGATTCTCGTATGTAACCTTGTTTCAGATTGTTACTACACTCCTCCAA